AGTCTCCAATGTAGTTCCTTTTTTTGGTTTAACGGTTTAACCAAGTTTATATTAAGGATCCTAAAAGGTAACCCCCAAAAGGAACTACAATGGAGACTATAGGTAAGGTTGTTTGGGGCTCTCGGGTGCAAGGCTTGGATCAAAACGCTCAGGTTTGGCCCACCAGATAACACAGTAGCAGCCTATTCTTACCTCTTGAATGTATAGGTGTGTGTGTATATATATATATACATATGGCATCAAGTTAGCCCCAAAGCGCTGTTCCGACTGTTCAGTTCTCTATATTGCTTGAGGGATGTCGGAATCCAAGTTGCGGCCATGAGCGCCGTGTCGGGGCGAGCCACTCCGGGCCCACACCACGGCCCTACTGCATGCGCCGTATGGAACGGTTTGGCTCTCCCCATAGAAGTGAAGACCGATGTTGGCTGGCAGGTGCTGTACCCAACACGGAGCATCCCCTTAGAGGGGGCCTTGGTAGAGGTCCGGCTGCGAGAAGACGTCCAGCTGCAGGGCAGCTGCCCTTCGGCTCGTCAGCTGTCTGCTTCCTTGAGCTTCGGGGACTTCAGCACAGAGGCCAAGCGGCGGCAAGAACTCGACAAGTTGGAGGTCAAGCACGAGGCGAGCCGAAAGCAGGCAGCAAAAATGCGCCAAGTGGACCAGCTTGAGGAAGCTGTTAAGGAAGTGGGACGAGGACTCGCGAACTGCAAGATGTCACTGTCTCCTACTGGTCCTCGCAGTGGCCATTGTGGCGACATGCGCCATGGTCCCACCAGGATCTGCCGCTGTAGCTGCCCTCCTAAGCAGCGCAGTCTTTGTGTCATGCTGCTTTGTCACATATGATGCAGGCAAGCTTGCTGCTGATAATGGCTGGAGGATCACGCCCGGCGACATTTGCTTTGCTCGTGGCCGTTTAAGTGCACCGTCCTCAGCTGGCTCTCGGGACTCCTCGGCCTGATCTTCTTGACCCTACGTCACTCTTTCGATGGCTTCTGGTGGACCTCCCTCATAACATTGCCTACTGCTTTGGCTGCAACTGCCTCCGAAAGATGTGCTATGGAGATGAAGTCGTTGGAGTGAGCGTGTCGTATCTGACCCCTGCACACCAGCAGTCGGCTGAGCATGAGCTCTTAAGGAAATTGAGGAGCATCCAGTTCAGTGGGTCGGTGCTTAAAGGCCGTGGCCGTGCTTGCGTTTGCTCATGGCCAGGCAGCTATGCTGGTGCTTGGGATGCCCCGGTCGACGCGAGCGTTGGTGGTGAAGTCAGTGCAGCTTGTGGTTTTTCTGCCAGATGGCACGGAGGACTACGGCGTGCATGATGCCATCCCTGAACACGAAAACCTCGAAGGGTGCTGGTGCACACCCTATGGTGAAGAGAAGCCATGGGGTTGCCGATGGTTCAGCAGATGGAAAGCAAACATCGAAGATGTGGAGCATGGGGCCGAGTTGCAGGTTTCTGCCAAGGCCGCCTGGGCCAAGGGAGGGTCAAGGAGTTTCAGACCGCCGGCGAGGAGAACCGACGACGGGAGTTGCTGAATTCCAAGCGCCAAAGCTTCGAAGGCTCCCTGGAAGTCGGGACTCAACTTATTGCAGGTGGAGCCACGGGGAGATGGGTCCTCTCAGTACAGCCGAGAGCTGCAGCGGCTTTTCTGGGCCTCACTTCCTCCAGAGGATCGCGAGTTCTTGGAGGCGTCGGAGGGCCTCTGCACTTCGCAGAAGGCGGAGGTGGCCTGGCTCGAGAGGAAGGGTTACCCTTACTTCCCCTTGGACGTCTCGACCTGGATAGGACGAGACGACGGTGTCATGTACCCCAAGACCCACATCGATGTCATGTGCGTCTGAAGCTTCCAGGGTGGTGATCGCTTTGTGGGTACTGTCTGCTCCGAGGAGGCATCCTGCCTTGCTGTCCACAGCTGGCCAAGCTCCTGCTGGGCGCTCGTTTTGGGCTCAACAGGAGCCTCTGCCCAGCTCATGCAGCAGAGCTCTTCGACAAACATGGCACCCCAGGTATCCCTGAGATCCCAAGCCGAAGCAATCGCCCAGCTGAGCCCCAAACTCCACCCAAGGTCACGCTACTTGATGACGGGCACCCTGCCGCTTCCGACGGGTGAGGTGGGGACGATAAAAGTGGGTGTTACGCCCTCTACCAGAACGGAATAGAGTCACCGCATAGATGAGACTCTCCGGTTGAATAGAATATGACTCCCCAACCAGTTTCCTGCAGGAGTTCTTGATTCTCTCGACGTTTCACGATGTGGGTTGGCGTCCAATGTCGGATCTTTCGACAGACCCCCTAAACCCTAAACCCTTAACCCCAAACCCATCATAACTCATCAGGTACGGCCCGGCACGGAGATCGAGGAGACTGACGTGTGGAGGCTGGCAGGCCGGGGCTGGAAGGGGGGGGGTGGAGGGGGGGGGAAGAAACCCACCAGGGTTTAGGGTTTAGGGTTTAGGGTTGAGAAAAATTGGGTGGGGGGTTTTTCAGGCTTTTGAATTAACCACGCAGGGTTTTGGGGTGGTGGGTTATGGGGTCTGAAAACTGGGACTCAGGGTAAGGCAAGGCTTAACATAGGGGCTTAAATCGTTACCTATACTATTTTGGGGGTTCCTTATAACTATAGTATTATGTACCCCAAAACCCGATTCTAACTATTAGGGCCCCCCCACATTACACATGATGTGGGGGTGGGTGTGGGATTCGCGGTTTACGGTCTTCGGTCTTCCTGTCTTTGAATCGAGTTCGGCTCCAGGGTTCAGGGTTCGGCGGCGTGGGCTTAAGACTGCCCATGGGCCCCATAGTAGTTCCTTTTTGGGGTTCATATTTAGAATCCTATAAGGTAATCCCAAAACGGAAATACTATGGGGCCTATGGGTAGAAGTGTATGTTAGTCGCTGTTCGTCATTGCAACAGTACCTTTGTGGGGCGACTACTGGGCATGGTGGCGCCCCACGGCAAACGTCGTAACATTGGGCAGGGTTTTTTTAAGCACAGTGGATCACCATCGTGACAATGATAGTAGCCAGTGGTACAAGGCAAGAAGTAGCCGTTGTCCTGCTTGCACATGCTGGTGGTGATGGTGGTAGTAATGCTACCATTCAGAATAGCAGTGCCCAGCCACAGTCGTGCATCACACCTGTATGAATAGAGATGCGGTTCTCGACAAGGTATCACCTGTTGTCATAGGCTGCCTTGTGTCGGTTTTTGAATGTTTTAGTCTTTCGACTGCTCCGTGATAATTTCGCTCTACTCTGCAACAATATCACATATGTCATAGCACTGCGTCACACGACATTGCAGCGTCATGAGTTATTCGGGCCGAGGTTCATCTGAGGCCGTAAGCCAGGGTTAGAGGGCTTTCCGGTTTTGCGCTGTTGTTGGGTTTGTGGCTGAGCACAGACTCGGAGTTGGAGATTTGGCTTCCGGAACCTCTTGTCCCCTCCCATGTCAAGGCTCGAGGTTTCAGGCGTGTCGGATGTCGAACTTGAGCGTTCGTTCGGCCGGAATGTGCAGGGTAGTACTGTGCAGTCTTGTGCGCGTGCGCCTATGCGCATGGGTTTGTGTGTCTCTTGTCTACATGTGTATATATATATACATACATACATACTGGACAGGGCGCTATGTGGTTATGCCAGATTCTTTTTGGTGCAGGCTCCAGCTTCATCTACATCTCCTTAATCATCGGGATCCAGTTCTGGAAGCCCCAGACCGATTTCGGGAAGATGGTGCAGCGGCGCGGCTTGGCCGCATGTGTGTGCAGAGAGACCCTCGTTCCTGAATGACAGAAATCAGCGCCTGAGCATGATCCTGGGTCAATGAAAAACATGCACAGACAGAGAGAACTCTCTCTAACTTTTACACTCACTCGCTCACTCACCCACTCACTCACTCTCTCAGTCTCTCTCTCACTCTCTCTCTCTCTCTCTCTCTTTCTCTCTGTCCTCGAAACGGTGTGAGCCTCCGTGTGTGTGTGTGTGCGTTTATGTTTGTGTGTGTGTGTGTCTCTGTGTGTGTGTGTGTGTGTTTGAGTTTGTCTCTGCACGCACGTATGCATGCATGTTGAAGAGAGCTTACCCATGATACTTTATGTCTGTGTAGCGGTTTAAGCATGCTGTTTTCTACATGTTGTATACATGCAGACAAACAGACAGACACTGAGACAGAGACACGGACAGACAGGCAGACAGACACACAGAGACAGACGGGCAGACGGACTACCTTCCCAGAGCGAAACACAAGTCCTTGAACATGAATGCGGGGTTGCACGCTTGCATGCATGTATGCAGTTTAGCAGCAAAGGCCAAGCTGAGTGGGAGGGTGGAAGGTAACAGATGTCCTGACCCTGGTCGCCTCCCCGAATAGGTGACCTACGACGACGGAACGGGAACAGGAAGTTCCGATTGCTGGTGCAGGGTCGATGGAGTTGGCACGGTATGCTCCAGTTGATTGAGGAATGCTAGTGCTCAGTGCTTGCACAGGGCTGTGCTGCCGCCATGATCGCCGTCTATATTTATGTACACACATATGTATATATATATATATTACATATACACACAAACTGCAGTAGACACACAGAAGCGTGGGAGAGGTTTTGTTTTGTTTCCACTAATAAGTACAGGCATTAACAGCCGGAGTTAGGGTCGAATGCATCTCGCACACATCCTCCTTGCACTGTCCGGCGGCTTTTGCTGCCCAGGTGGTGGGCAGCGACTGGGTCGCATGAAGCCAGGCATTGACCCAACATCCGAGTGGGGGCTTCGCGGTTTATTGGTGCAACACCGAATACAAAGCCTGCATAGTTAGCAGTACGGTCGCACCGTACTATTCCTTCGTGTTCCTCATTACTCAAGATTTTCATGGCATTTTCGATGCGTCCAAATTGCAAGTTGGTGCTGCCAAAAGGGTGATCTGCGTGACAGTTTCGTTGCGTCCAAACTGGTGCACCCAAACGGGGCTTAGCACCACAATATTTTCGTGACAGCCGCTTCGTGGTTTCGCAGGGTTTGCTTGGGGGTGTATACCGCATCCTTACAGTACTTTGGAGAGGGGAATCTTTGGTGACCGTGGTGATGGTGACTCTGAACCAGAAGGCCACTTACGGCCTCCACTTCTGGGGGGGGGGGGGGGGTTGGTTGCAAGCCTCACAAAAAAGCTGTGTAGAACGCTGCAAACCCTTCCACGTCCGATCCCTGAACCCTGCAGTTGGGAAGAGCCTCAAGGATACTGGCCAACTGCACGGCCTTCGCTCTCTTCTACAGCACCACCTGGTATGCAAAGGAGGCTGGTGCGGACTTCAAAATCCCTCTCGACTCAGGGTTGTGCTAGGTCCTCCCCGTTTTGGGTATCCCTAGAACCGCAAGCCGTTGCAAAAGCATTGGTACCTGAAATGGAGTCCTAATGCAGAACGACACCGATTCCAAAACTTTTGGCCCCATGCGCAAACAAACGAACACCAAGGTCGACCTGCACCAGGAACTGAGGACTCACACACCCTCAAACTCTACACCATACCCACCGGCCTTCCAAACTAGGGTCAAGCCTGCACCCCAAACTCTACAGCTCAAGCCTGCAGGTCCCCCAAAGAAGAAAACTTGACCTCAAACTCTAAGCCACCCACGAAAACATGAGCAACGAGTCGGTAGCAATATCCCTGAAAATAGGGTTTAGGGTTTAGGCTTTACTTCAATATACCCTGCCTTAAACCTCGGCCTAAGCATAGACGCACCAGAACTAGACAACCGAAGCACCCCGCAGCCTCTTGACGAAGTCCTCGGGAACCCTATGTTACTGTACCATATTATACTATCCTTCCGAAACACGTGGGGGTCCTAAAGCTAGAGCCCTGAACCCTATATACCCTACAACCCCACATCTGATTCCCTAAACACCATTCTGTGCTTAGGGTTAGGCTTTAGGGTTTGGGGTTTAGGGTTTGGGTTTGTTGTTTTACACGAATCTTATCTTTCACATAAACCCTAAACCCTAAACCCTAAACCCTAAACCTTTGACCCAGATGCTGGAGCTGTCTGGGCCGGCTCAAAGCCTCGTGGTGGCCCTAGGCCGATGGGAAGAGCACGTGCGGGACTTCAATTCCTAGACCCTCCATCTGCCCTCTATAGTTTAGGGTTTAGGGTTTAGGGTTTAGGGTTTAGGGTTATATTGGGTAGTTCTCTAAATTGGGGTCCCCTCGTGGGTCCCAAATATAGTACGGCACCCTTATAAAAGGACCCTAAAAGGGGACCCGAATTTAGAGAAC